TTTTTTTTTAATCCTCACCCGAGGACATTTCCATTTTTTGTACAGATAGAGTGGGAGGGAGAGAGAGGAAGAGAGAGAGAGAAACATCGATGTGAAAGGGACACATCGAGTGGCTGCCTCCTGCACGACCCAACCAGGGCCGGGGACAAACTGCAACCGAGGTACATGCTCTTAGCGGGAACTGAACCCAGGTCTCTCTGGACCGCAGGCCGATGCTCTAACCACTGAGCCAAACCGGCCAGGGCACCTCCTTCCATTTTAAAAGACTATGTCTTATCTGATATAGACATTTACAATGCTTCTTTGTGGTTTTGTTTTCAAACCCGATTTAACACATTATCCTACTGCTTCACCCCCTTTCTAATGCTAGAAAGCAGTCTTTATTTTCACGAATGGCATTAAATCGATTCTGGTGCTTAGTATTATAAGATAGTTTTTAAAGCTCTACCTCAAAGATGGGAAGCACTGGTATTTGTGGGCCTAGGAAAGATGTGGGAATTCTTAGACTGTTAGATGACTGTTTTGTATACATTTAACACATACAAATGTAATGGAGGGGAATAGGTCCTCTGTAGTCAGAGGACTGAGGCCAAGTCCCCAGGGCTACATTTCCTCGTTCATCCATAAATTAGGCATAAGTTATATTCATACCTCATGAGGTTGTTGTGAGTATAAAATGAGATATCTGGGACAATGCTTAGTAAATCTCTATGTAGTGTTGTTATTTCTCTGCCTATTTTGTTCTTGCCTTCAAATTGCTAATGGAGCTTCTGAATTAGGGTAGAGTAAGAATATTATCTGATACAAATTTGACCCTGTCTGGCCTTTGCTTTGTTGAACTACTTTTGAATACTAGTCAGCATTGGTGTGAGTCCCATAGAGAGATAGGATCTTTGTCTCTTCCATTACTTGATACGCTTACGGTTTACTAACGTACTTTGCACACTGTTGGTGTTCAGTAAATTGTCGTGGGACAAATGAATCAATACTACTAACACTAACTTTTCTGTTTCAGATCTTCTCTAGCAGGCAGGATTTATTTAATCTGGTGGTTATACACCTAAATCTGCTTCTACAGAGGAGTGGTTCTCAGTGGGAGGGAGGAGACCTTCCAGGTTATCTGTGGGTTTTGTAAAAGGTATCCAGGATCCTTCACTCTGCCTGTATATCATAAATCATGTTTAGATCTGCAAGGACTTTCCCATTTCTCCTTTTGTCCCCCCAAAGATAATATCTTAGGACCTCAAGTGAGGGGAAGACAGACCCCTTGCAAGGCTTATGGCTTTGAAGTGGGGAGCACTCCGATCTGTCTTTTTGGTTTTTGTTTGTATGGTACAACTGAGCTTAATATTGTTGTATTTAATTCTATTTGCCCATAGTGTATTTTCATCTTAATTACAAAATAAATATCAAAAGATCCTCTTTGCCAGGGTCAGTGACAGTGTCCAGTTTTGGTGCTTCTTATAAGTCCCTAAAGAAGTTCAGAGACCAGATGGGGAAATGATTTCAATAAAATCTCTCACACGTTATAGCTGAAACTTTATCCAAACTACTGTGAAAGTTATGTTCTTTCTGTTTCACTTTGCTAAATCTGAAATGTGACTGCTTTTGAGACTTTGTCCTCTCTGACAGGTAATACAATCCTGATGTTTTTCAAGTCCTTTGGCTGAGGTGTGGTCTTCCAAAAGTCATACTGGAAAGGCTTTGCTTTCCTGGAGAGGCAAATCGAGATTTGAAAATATGTCTTAATGACTTACAGTGACCTCTTAACCTGAAGTGAGTTATTTTACTTTTAGACGCAAATTACCCAAAGGCATCAGAAACTCCATAACCATAATTTCTGTTTTCTTCGTTAATTAGAGTAAAGCTACTTTATACTATTGCCATGTCTCTGCAGTCAGTTTCTATCATGTTATTTGTGGTCTTTGTCTCATCTTAATTAGAGCGTCTAGGTTATGGATTTTTGTTTCCTTCCCTGAAAATGTCTGTAGTATTACCCTTTATACATATCACGAAGCTGTGGAGAAGAGTGGGAGTCTGCCCCGGTTTGCATTCTGGCTCTGCCACTTAAAGGTTACTTAACTGCTCTAAGCCTCAGTTGACCGAACTATAAAGTGGGGATCATTATGCCTCAGCATGGTTAGAAGGACTAACCAGAAATATATAATTAATTAATATAGACATAAAAGTTCCTTCCACCTGAGTCTTACCCGTGTGAGCGAGCAGTGAGAGGAGCTGTTGCTACACAGCACTTTGTGCACAACACTCAAGTCACATGTGCACTGTGATTTGGGGGCCTTTTCTTTGGCTGGCCACTTTTTAAGATATTCATGGAGATGATTCAAAGGTGAGCAGCATTAGTTCTTTTTTTCCTTTTTTTTTTTCTTAATCCTCACCTGAGGTTATTTTTCCACTTATTTTTAGATTGGGAGGGAAGGAGAGGGAGAGAGAGAAACACATCGATTGGTTGCCTCCCACACAACCCCAACTGGGGCCGGGGACCAAACCTGCAACCCAGGTACCATGTGCCCTTGACCAGGACTCGAACCTGCGGCCCTTCTGTGCAAGAGCCAATGCTCTAACTCTCTGTCCAAACTATTCATTTCGATACCAGGGTTTTGTTTGTTTTTCAAAATTGTAATACTTTATAACTTAATGTCAGAATTTCAATTTTAATCATTTTTATTTCTGGTTGCCTCCCTCATGACTCGACCAGGGACAGGGATGAACTGCAACCGAGGTACCTGCCCTTGCCCAGAATTGAACCCGTGACTCATTGGTCTGTGGGCTGATGCTCTAACTGCCGAGCCAAACTGGCCAGGGCTTATTGCACTGATTTTTGAAGATCTGACTCTTGTAGCTTCAATGCTAAATGTTAAAAAGATCTAGGAACTGGAGAAGATTCTAAGACTCAAGTTCTGGTTGATATCTCATTTCAGTTGGTATACTTAGAACTTCTCCGGGACCTAATATATGCTTTGAAATTTTGTTTATTATAATCAGCACCCTGAATTGATGGAAATAATTACATACATCAGTACAGTAAGAAAGAAAGAGTGTTGTCATTTCTGTGCCAAGATATATTTTTTTAAACCCCTATTGTATATTTTCCTATTTATGTTTCGTCAAATGAAAATGTTCTAAGAACTTAAACTCCTGTTATCATTGAGGGCATTAAATTTTCCCCTGAGGGATAATTTTTTATCCTTCTAAGATGAGATCACTGTCCCCTGAACAACTTGTGTACAGTCAGGCATTAGCTAATGGACGTGAGGTAATGCTAAGTCTGACACTCAGTCCTGCAGGAAGCAAAGCTCTGCTCCCAAGAGTGGAGTTAGTGCTTTTGTGTGGGAAAAGCAGGTGGTGACAGAGAGCAAATGTGCACATGTCTGATTTGGTGAGCATTTCATTTAGCATTATACAAATTTGTAATAATATGTGAAGGTCGACTGATACTGTTGCAATGTATACTTTTTGGATACTAATGATGAAGGAACAAAATACATCATAGTATTTGTTCTTGAGAAATCCTTATCAAATAATAAGACCCTGTTTTAAATCCTATTCTGAAAGAATTCATGTGGTTTTTATTTTATTTTAGACACCAACTACCTTACTGAAACAAAACTGTCTCATCTCCAATATCAGACAGTAGAGCTAGAATACCCTATAAAATCAGGTAATCCTTGAGATTCCTGTAGGCAGTGCTCAGCCCTACACTGAAATTATATCTAGTCATTTCTTTTGCCCATTTCCAAGTCTTGGACAATTTTCCCTGACAGTCCCCACTATACTTATGACCTTAAGCCAGTGGTCTAATGTTCTCTTCTGAGTTGAACTCTGGGCAAGATTTGAAATAATGGAACACTCCTTGAAAGACTTCTGCATGCTTCGGTGCCCCACGTTCACCTGTTCACCTGAACCCCACCCCCCCCATGTATACACTACCTCTCTTTAGTCTCTTGCGAGCCCCTCTTCCTCAGTAATCCTCTAAATACCAATGTGCCCCAGTGTTTCTCCAGCCCTGATCTTTCCCTGAGTTCCAGCCTCAGCCATCTCTATCCTCTGTTCAGCTGGAGTGCAAACTACCATCATCACTTGCCAGAACTGTTCCAGAAAGCTTTTCATTGGCCTGTGTGCTTCTACAGTTGATTCTCCTCTGCTCAGCAGCCAGCGTTCTCTCTTTAAGCATGCTGTCTCTCCCCTGCTTAAAACACTCCAGTGGTTTCTCCTAGCAATTAGGATAGATTCAAAGCTTCTCTTGGCTCCAAAGGTCCTGTGTGATCATACCTTTCCTACTTAATCTCCATTCGCACCTTCCCTTCCTTTATGGTGCACTAGCTGAACTGGCCTTTCTGCACCACGAATACACCAGACTCTCAGGACCTGTGTACTTGCTGTCCCTCTCCCAGCAAGGACATCCCCTGTTGGTAGCCTTCATGTCATTGAGATCGATCTCCATGTAAATGTCACCTTAGAGATGGCTTCCCCACCCACTGTAGCTAAAGTAGTTCACATTCGTAGCCTCTCTTATTTTACCCTATTTTATTTTCTTCATAGCCCCTATCATCTTATTATCAATCTGTAATTATTCTTCCTCAATTAAAAAAGAAAGAGAAATTGGGAGAGAAATGGGCTGCATTACAGCAACCTTTATCAGCACAGGGGAAGCAGAGGGAGGGGTGGCAGCCTGGTGTGAAAATGTCCATGTATGTGCCCGGCTGGTGTGGCTCAGCGGTTGAGCATTGACCCATACAAGCACCAAGAGGTCGCCGGTTCGATTCCCGATCTGGGCAGATGCCCAGGTTGTGGGACCAGTCTCCAGTTCTCTCTCATCGATATTTCTCTCTCTCCCTCTCTCATCCTCTCTGTCTCTAAAAATCAATAAAGAAAAAAAAATGTCCATATGTATTAATTTGGAGAAATAATCTTTGGAATAATTAATATAATTCAGTGATCTTATAGTGACTGATTTTTACTACTATTTTTTTATATTGTAGTTAATAAAAGTATCCATGGAGAACTCTGAAAACTCAGTGGATTCAAAGTCCATTAAAAACTTGGAAATGTGAGTATTTCAATGGAATCCTTCTATAATGAGAGAAAGACAGTTGCAGAACAACAAACTTTAAGGAGTGGGGAAGCGGGAAGATACGGGCTTGGGAGCCAGAGGGACCCTGTGGCTCTCTGCCTCAGCAGCTGCGTGGCTTTGCCATGTCAACCCAGCCCTCTGAGTCTCATCTTAAAGACTCCTCGGAACTGTGGGTAAGATCGAGGGAAAGACCAGACCCATTGCCTGGGCGCTACTCAGAAACCCTGTGCCGGCCGCAGGAGGACCTCACGGGAGAGGCAGGCTCAAAGCCTCGGTGCTTCTGCAGCTTCCCAAATTGCTCTGCGGGATGAGAGGTTTCACGTTTGTGGGAGTGTTTTTGGCCTTCTGTTTATTTATGAGTTTTAAGACTAAAATGAAGTGCCAGTTCTGTCTGGGGAAGAATTACCTACTTAGAGATTATCTTTTACCCTTTATTTTCTCATTCTTTCGGTTTGGAATATTCTGTGTATTAATGCTTCCAAAAACCAGCAGATAGAGAAAGGAAAAGGGGAAATGCAAACACTCTTAATTTAATTCATGTCTGTTATTGGGGTCTCTTGTGATTCCAGGTTTACTGACAGCATGTATTATTATTCTGGACCATTCAGGAAATTACAGACTAATTCTAGTACTAAGTAATAGTATTACAGCAATACTATTAACAATAAGAATTTAGCTGTGATTGTTTGGCAAAGGAATTTTCCTAGAAATTAAACTTTGAAATACAATCTCATTTTAGAAGAGTTTTTTGGTTTTTTTTTATTGAAAACCCATTCAAAATTATTTATACATTTTCATATCATATAGAACATACCTTAATAGCAAATTGCATGGGAGCCCAAAATAGTTTTAGGTCCATTTTGATCTTATGATAAATTATCATCATGTTCCTAAGCTTTTTGAGTCTCCTCTGTATCAGGCATGGCCCCTCCCAGTCTAGCTATTTTATTATTGCTGGTAGAGGAGCACCTACCTTTTAAGGGGGCAGCAGGAGGTGGTGGGGAATTACAGTTCTGTGATCCATTATCTGGATGACCTTCACCAAGTCACTCAGCTTGCAGAGTTTTGTTTTTGTTTTTGCATTTATCTTCAGAGCGAGAGGGAGAGAGGAAGGAAGAGAGAGAGAAACATCAGTGTGAGAGAGACACATGGACTGGTTGCCACCCACACAACCCCAACCGGGGCCGGGGACAAACTGCAACTGAAGTACGGGCCCTTAGCAGAACTGAACCTGGGACTCCCTGGTCCGCGGGCCGACACTCTAACTGCTGAGCAAATCCGGCCAGGGCAGCTTGCAGAGTTTTAATTTTTTTATGTAAAATGTGAGGATCTTCACCTTTAGTTAAATAAAATAGTTTGTTTCTGACATGGACTTTGTTAATTTACAATTTACTATTCTAATCTCTTTCCAACAATTTTTTTAGAATTGTGTATATGTGAAATGCTCTCAGATAAAGTGCATGAGTACATGGACCGTAGATACGGATGATTGTCTGTTCCTAGATCTGTTATTTCCTGATCCTTCCTGATCCCTGGGCTACATCCAGGGCCAGGCTTGCACTCACTTTATTTTGGTTAAGTGTAATCACACCTATTTGTTGAGATATTGCTCTGGGCTACTTTCACCAGCAGAATGGCTGGCACTGTGTGGAGCAACCCTGAAATACTTAGTATTTGGCCCTTTTGAGGGAAAGCTTACTGCCCCAGGTCTAGATAACAGAGGTGTTTGGATAAGTGACCTTCAGACAGATATTTTTAATTTTTTACAATAATGATTCTATGTGTTAATAGATTATTTGTTTGTTAAGCTTATAGGTTTTAAGGAACAATTTAAGAATTGTGATATTGTCTTGAATCATATTTGCCTTTTATTGGTTTCCTATCACTTCAGGATAATTTTTAGGATCTTACTCTTACCTTGGAAGATAAACTATTCCACAAAGTTAAAAGAAATTTTTTAAGTGTATAACGTATTTGATGAAATTTTAGTAAAATTTAGAGGAAAACAAAGTATAGAGATTAAAAGCCTGCACTGTGAAGGCCAACACATACTTTCAGTCTTGGCTCTGATACTGTATCTGCATGACCTTCCGCACGTTACTTAGCCTCATGGTCATTTCCTTATCTGTGAAATGTATTCTATAAATGTTAACTGTTCTTACATGTTACAAAGTTGTATTAATGAGAACAGCAGCATTGGTCATGACTACCTTTGTAAACTGTTGTTTGATTTCCAAACAGAAAGCCCTTACCTGGCAGCAAATCGATGGACTCTGGAATATCTTTGGACGATAGTTACAAAATGGATTTTCCTCAAATGGGTGTATGTATAATAATCAATAATAAGAACTTTGATAAAAAGACTGGTATGTATCATAACATAATTTTTAATTCTTCAAATATTTGTACCGTTTATATTTGTATAATATAAAAAATAGTGTTGCTGTTATTAAGCTAGGACACAGACTAGCCATGAAGTAGAGATAGAGCAGGACTCTACAGGTTCTACAGTACAGATGAACTCTTTGTTAATCTTCAACCCATCATCAAAACTTCTCCCTCTTCCATCAGCTAGGCTCCTATCTGAACGTTGGCCTCTCTGCCCTGACTTCTATAATCCTTGCTTCTTTATCCTTCTGCCCTTTCTTTTATGCTAATGAAAGGATCACAAGTAGTAAGTAGTAGTATTTTTCCTTTCTAGGAACTACAAGGTACCTTGCAGGTACTGTCTCATCTAATTTTTACAGCAACCCCGAAAAGTAACCACGCTTAGATACTGAAAGGTTAAACTCCCTGCAGAGTCCCACAGGTAAATTGGTGGCAGAGCTAATTTACCTGTTTCCTCAGCCTTAGTGTGCCTGCTGCGTGGCCAGCTCTCAGCCCACCTGTTGTCCCTTGATTCCTGTGTCTCCATGTGCTCTATTGGCTTTTCCCTCTTCCCTGCGAAGGTGACAGACTCCCAGCTTAACGAGACCTTTCTTTTACCCTGCTTCTTAAGCTTTGATCTGATTTTTGTCTCCTTCCCTAAATTTTGAAAAGTTGTACTTTAGGCTTGCCGTCTTCACTTCCTTCCAACCCTCTTTAACCCTCTTTCCCATTTTCCGCCGCTAACACTGTGCTGCAACTCCCTCCAGGTTCACCACACAGGACCACCAAGTCCCATCTCAGCCGCTCGACTGTGTGCCATTTGAATCTAATAATACCTTTCAGAATTTTTTTTAGAGAATATAAAAACAAAATTCTTCCTAATTCTAAAAAGCTAATTAACATCATGATGTATTGCTTGATTTTTTTCTTTGACGTTTCTTTCAAAGATTAATTTTATTCATCATATATAAGCAATGTTGTACCCTGCTGGTTCCACTTAATGTAATATAAACATTTTTTGTGTGTAGCAGATATAATTTTTGTATCTGTTATTTTTATATATTACACACTCTAAATATACATTTCACTTGATTTGCATAATTAACCATAAGAATGAACATTTTGGCTATTTTCCCAATTTTTTCATCTTTAAATTGATGCTCTGGTAATTCTTTGAATTGGCATATTAATCATACTAGAATTATTATTATTATTATTGGTTAATCCTTACCTGAGAATTTTTTTCATTAAGTTTTAGAGGGGGAGAGAGAGAGAAATATCAATGTGAGAGGGACTCGTCGATTGGTTGCCTCCTGCATGACTCCAACAGGGCTGGGTTCAAACCTGCGACCCAGGTACATGCCCTTGATCGGGAATCGAACCCTCTATCCTTTGGTCCAAGGGCCAATGCTCTAACTGCTGAGCCAAACCGGCCAGGACACTAGAATTAATTTTTATTTAAAGAATATAGACATTTATTCTTTTTTCTATTTATGTATCTTAAATTTACTCAATTCTAAGATGTGTTCCCCCAACACTTGAGCATTTTCAGTCTGAGTGCCTGGTGCAGTCATACTGTTCTCCGTGGGGAAGGTGCTGTAAAGGAGTGATCAAAGCCCAGGACTCTGAGTAGAGGTCTGACACCAGCTCTGTCGCTTTGGACAAGTCCCTGAACCCCTGTGTGCTCCGTGTCCTACATCTGTACAGATGAAGCCAGTCACAGTAACTGTCGCATGGTGGCTGGAGAGATAAAGACCACCCATAGCAGAATGCCGATGAACAGTGTTAATTGGTAGTGGTTTGCATTTGTTTGTTTGTTTTGTTTGTTTTTTCCTGAAAAGACATTGCCAAAGTAGTGATGTATCTTAAAATTGTAGGGAACTTTGTAAAGTCAAAGAAATACAGTTCCTCTGTGTGTGTGAGATGTTCGAGAGATACATAACTTTTTTTAAACAAAAGTAGGATTCTATTGTTTTCTAATCTTTTCTTAAAAATTACCATTTCCCATGGCAAAATTTTGTCTACAGAAATTTTAATGGCAACATAGTATTCCATTATATAAACAAATCATAGTTTATTTAACCAAACTTCTCTAGACTTTTTGTCACTGTGATAAGAATAATTGAATTTTCTTAGCATTTGAAAGGAGAGATTTATTGTGAATTGTGTGAATCATTGACTAGTTCATTTCATTTCAGAGCAGTTGATGTTTTTTAAAAAATACAATCAAAAGTAATTCTTTCTATCCGAAGGAATGACATCTCGGTTCGGTACAGATGTGGATGCAGCAAGGCTCAGGGAAACGTTCTTGAACTTGAAGTACGAAGTTAGGAACCAGAATGATCTTACCCGTGAACAAATTGTAGAATTGATGTGCAGTGGTAAGAAATAATAAAAGAATGAACTTCATTTTGTAGTTTTGTCCAAGGACTATTTTATTGTCCAAGGTCTAGCTGTAATCATACACATTATAAAGCATAAGAATTGTAGAACTGTACTGTACATAATCCTACTCCATATCTCTTATATACGTAAGATAAAAGTTAGTCATGTCCAAACAAAATAGATCCAGAAACGTGGAAGTAGGGAACAGACTGACAGAGGGGGGCGGGGCGCAGGAAGAGTTAAACCAAAGAACTTACATGCAGGTGTGCGTGGCCAGTGGCCACAAACAGGAGTGTGGGGAAGGCAGGTACGGAGGGGAGGGGAGTGGAGAGGAGGGTGGCAATGGGGGAAAAAAGGAGGACATCTGTAATACTTAACAGCAATAAAGATTTTAAAAGAAGTTAGTCATACCAACTCTCTGAGATGGTTTGAGGTATGTTTCTCCCCAAGTTGGGTTTAGATGATGTCTTAGTTTTGTTCTCTGGTTTCTTCATCTTATCCCTATAGAGTGTATAGGAAATTGTTGAGTAAAGTGTGTTGGTTTTTTGTTTATTTGTTTCCCTTATTTGTAAATGTTTTTCTAGTCGCTAAAGAAGATCATAGCAAAAGGAGCAGTTTTATTTGTGTGCTTTTAAGCCATGGCGACGAAGGAATAATTTTTGGAACAAATGGACCTATTGACCTGAAAAAATTAACAGTTTTTTTCAGAGGGGATAATTGTAGAAGTCTGGCTGGAAAACCCAAACTTTTCATTATTCAGGTAATACATAACTGAGCAACTTGGTTATTGAGGATATATTGGGGATTAATTCACTCAATTGTGGATTATCCAAAGGATTTTTTTCCTGAAGCTAACTGAACTATTGTTACTTTTTTATTCATTTTAACTACCGCTAGGAGACACAGAATACATTTTAATTCTATACTTGCATCAAAAAGATTCTACATAATTAACATCAACTTTACATAGCCTTTACATTTCTTAGAATTCATAAATGGCCCAGCAGGTATGGCTCAGTGGTTGAGCATCATCCCATGCACCAGGAGGTCTCCGGTTCCATTCCCGGTCAGGGCTCATGCCCAGGTTCTGGGCCCGATCCCCGGTGGGGGGCATGTAGGAGGCAGCCAGTCAATGTTCTCTCTCACCAATGTTTTTGTCTCTCCCTTTCCCTTCCTCTCTCTCCAAAGTCAGTAAAGAGAAATAAATAAATAAATATTTGTTTTCTTATCTCCAGGCATGCCGAGGTACGGAACTGGACTGTGGTATTGAGACTGACAGCAATGTTGATGATGACATGGCATGTCAGAAAATACCAGTGGAGGCAGACTTCTTGTATGCGTATTCTACTGCACCTGGTAAGGAAGTCCTAAATCATGAATGTTATATGTAGGTTTTAAGCAATGGAGCGTATCTTCCAAAGGCTGTGAAAATTTTGATATTCAATAAAAAAATAGCTAACTTGTCTATATTTTAGGGTACCTTAACCACAGAGAGGTCTCAAAAAGTGTTTTTTAGCTAAGTTTGGCTAGAAAATATGCATATATAAGAAAGCAACTTACACAGAGTCCCTCTTAAACTTAATATCAGATAGGATACTATATTGTAATGTAGGCCAACTCAGAGCTTAGCCCATTTCTTGGAATAGGGGAGAGGTATATTTTTCAGGAAATCTTTGGAAGATGGAAAATAAAGATAAATATGAATAGTACATCAGAGGGTAGAAGGGAAATGAGGGAAAGAAATTAAGTGATGCATGACTAGGTTATTAGCCTCCACTTCTTTGTGTTTGTGTTGCACACATAATCATGTAAGACTGAGCATGCAACTATTATACAACTAAGACTGTCACAAAGTTTGGAAATAGAGGATGAATGTATTTTTTAACAGTGTTACATTTTTAAATATGCTCAATATGATATTTCTTTAACCTCCAGGCATCTTTCCAAGTAAAGTATTTCTCAATTAAAAGTAATGGATCCAATAGCTAATCTGAAAAAAGTACAATAAATGCAATGTTTTCCCCCTGGGGACCCTAATACTCTGTAATGTGTTTATTATACTTTATTTGATGCCCTGTAGACAAATTTAGAACACTCAAACATGTGTGCATACAAAAGCAATTTATTTCTTGGATAAACCAATAATGTGATTGTAACACCATGCTCCTTATAACGACCCTTTTACTTCTTCATCCTCGTGTTCACCAGTTCTCCCCTGTGGGAGGGAAGCCCAGAAAGTGGAACTCTGAGCAATTCAGTGGTTAAGTTCATCCACATCTTTTTTTTCTTTGTCAGAAGTAGCAGAGAGTACCACACATTTGTGGTTTTGTGGTTTTCTTCCCCCAGCATCATTTCCCTGAAACCAAACGTGTCATTTATTATTTTTTTCTTTTTATGGCTAATAACACCTATGGAAGTTTTTGCTTGTTTTATCTTTAAGGTTATGTAGTAATTTAGAATCACATATCCATGGTATTTTGGTTATATTTTGCCTTGTAGGTTACTATTCCTGGCGAAATTCAAAGGATGGATCCTGGTTCATCCAGTCACTTTGTGCTATGCTGAAACAGTACGCTGACAAGCTTGAGCTTATGCACATTCTTACTCGGGTTAACCGAAAGGTAGCAACAGAATTTGAGTCCTTTTCCTTTGACTCCACTTTTCATGCAAAGAAACAGATTCCATGTATTGTGTCTATGCTCACAAAAGAACTGTACTTTTATCACTAAAGAAATGTATGGTTTCTTTCAGTTTGTATGCCAAGCGAGGAAAGGGCATTGATACTGTATTTTTCCCTCGTTAATCTAATCTGGTGCTCCATTTGGGTACTCTGAAACAAGCCTCTTTTATAGCAGTAGGACTACTGGCAGGCTACCTCAAACTCAGAATCCGGTAGCTGGAATTGAACTTGATTAGGAATAAATACATGATAGTGGTACAGTTGTGAGAAGAACTGATTGTAAATTAGCAGCTGTCATAACCAGCAAGTTGTAGTGATGTCGTACTATGAATTTCAAGTAATTATGGAAAAAGTTAAACATTACAGTAATTAATTTTTGTGATATTGCCCTATCCTAGAATTTAGGGAGCCTTGTGCACGGTGCAAGGCATGAATACCTTGATATTAGAATTGGTATTTGGAGATAAATTAGCTGTGTTTTTGGATAATTTATCTGGACATATGATTTTGTGATGGTTGTCCTGAGCATGTATTTGTTGTAAAGAATCCTGTTTAATATTGAAAAATAAACTAAATATTTTACTTGAAAGAATGAGCAATCTAAGTTGACACTTTTAAGACTGAAAGCGTCATTACTACAGGGAGACAGAGTTAGAACCAGAAGGTACTCACATGGCTCATCCAGCAGCAGGTGTGTCCTGTGTCCCTGTGCGATCTGAAGGGCTGGTAGGTAAAAACCTCAAACTTGATCAAACCGATAGCATCATGAATTGAAGAAATTCCCTGGGACCATACTGAAATACAACTTATATCATAAGCACTGCAATGTAAGGAAGAAAGAGTAAATCAGTCAGCTGAGCACTTTGTAATTACAAGGTGGTTTGGGCGTGAGCTGAGACACAGCGGGTCCGTGTGCTGAAGGCAGAAGCAGGAACTCCGGCTCCAGCAAAGCCCTGCTGCTTTCTTCACGCGGACGGTGTGCATGGAGGTGGCTCCTAGGCAGGAGTCTCCGAGAAGGTGAACCAGTCGGAAACTTCGGAAATGGAAACTTTCCAAAGGTGATGAGAGCCACAATAAAAACCATAGTACCCTTTGTAGGAACATTTTTTAGCCTGTTCTTTTCTGCTGAAATTTATGATCAAAGGAAAATGATCCTGTTATAATTATATGCTGTTCTCTGAAATGAAAGGATCATAACGCACAAGACCGGAGAAGTCGTCCAGTCTTCCCCACTTCGGTACACGGGGAAACTGAAGGTCGCAGAGAAACAGCCCAGCCCAGCCAGGGAGGCCGGGCTCTAGCCTCGCACTCGGAGGTGATGCGCCGGCCGTGTCACGTGTCCTAGTTTTCATTCTGTTTCACGGGAACTTTCTTTTGCTCAAAGAAACTTGCCTTTATAAATGACAGCTATTTTTTTTTTTTTTTTACTTTCTGTAACTTTTTCTAAGTAAATGAAGCATGTAAAATTATCCTAAAGTGTATTTCTGTATGATGATTTTTTTTAAAGATTTCTTATGAATTTCCATTTCAAAATATAAGTTCTAACAAAGTTACCAACATGTTCAAGTGTCTTTGTTGTTTCCATTATTGTGTTACTAATTGAAGTTAAACTTTTTTAACTAATAGCTTAAATTGGAAGGGCCAAAGAAGATTCAACAGGACCTGATAGTCACGTATTTTTAGACAGTGGCAAATGACCTAGTAAAATAAGCAGGTCTCTCTTCCTCCCGCCCTCTCCACAAAGCCCTGCTCCTAAATCGCCTGTGAGGCCAAGAAGGATACTAGGTTTGTAGATGTCACAATACCTGAATATAACCATATAACCTTATTTTCTGTTGTTGGCTTTGTGGAAAGATAGCAGTAGAAAGGATATTGCTGAGATGAAACATTTTCCACCACATAAAGTTTAAATATGGCTAATTGGGGTGGGGGGGAGTGTAGAACTAGGGGAGTATGTAAGAAACCAGTTGGTGCTCACTGATGACCGCCTCTGGGAGACGGTGTGGTGGGAAGACGGCCCCTTTTGTTTTATGCACATACTTAGGAAAGGAATATAAGAACGTATGAATGTGGTTTTAAATTTCTTCCAATATTTCTATACTAGATAATATTTTTAAGTCAGAAAATTTAAAACTCTGATTGGGAGGGAATAGTAGATTCCTGTTTCCAAGGAGTAGAGGGTGGCATGAATAACTTTTAAGACTCTTTCAAGCTATAGTTCTGTAATGTGTTGAAAAAAATCAAGCCCATTCTACTCTCTACTATTAAGAAGTCTCAGATATTAAAAATAAAAAGTCCAACAACTTGGCCTTGCCATTTTGGCTCAGCGGTTAGAGCATTGGCCCACGGACCAAAGAGTCACAGGTTCGATTCCGGTCAAGGTTGCGGTTCATTCCCAGCCCTGGTTGGGTCGTGGGGGAGGCAACCAGTCGATGTGTCCTTCTCACATTAATATTTCTCCCTCTCCTTCTCACCCTCCCTCCCACTCTTATTTGATGATAAATGTGAAAATATCCTCAAGTGAGGATTTAAAAAAAAAGAGCACTGGCCAATATGACTCAGCTGTAAGAGTGTCACCTGAGGACCAGAGTCCCAGGTTTGATTCCGGCCAAGGGCACGTACCTCATCTGCGATTCATCCTCCGCCCCAGTTGGGGTCTTTTGGGTGGCAACCAATCGATGTGTCCCTCTCACATTGATGTTTTTTTCTCTCTCTTTTCCTCCCTCTCCCCTCCAGCTCTGTCTGAAGATTAATGTAAAAAAAATCCTCAGGTGAGGATTAAAAAAAAAGACCAACTCAATAGAAAAATGGACCAGAACATGAACAGACAGTTTACAAAGAAAGACCCTTACACTTAGATAAAGAGCTTAATCTCCTTCCTAATAGAAATGCAAATCAAACTCAGGTATCATCTGTCATCTGTCAGATTGACAAACATCCTATACTTTGATAACATTCTGTGGGCAGGTCTACAGCGGATGTATTTTCCCATTGGTGGGACTGCAGAGCACTAATTCCCTGGGGAGGAGAACCTGGCAACGCCTATCAAACGATTTACTCTTTGAAGTAACAATCTGACTTCTCGGAATCCAAAGTGCCCATACATCTGTACACGTGAAATGTGTGATGCGTAATTATTCACAACGTTTAAATGGTAAAAAAAAAAAAAAAAATGGCAGCAATCCAACTGTTGAGACAGGTGAAATACACTGGCGCACCCACACAGTGGAACAGGATTCTCCATAAAACAGAATGAGCAGATCCTCCTCAGCTGAAAAGGAGTGATCTCGAGTGCGAACGGTGAAGTGGGAACGGATGAAACAACACTATACAGTATGCTCTGCTCTGTCAAAAGGGAGTGGGGGGGGGGGTAAGGATATGCATTTGCATAAAGAAACACCAGAAGGATAAAAAATAATGCAAATGGATGGGGACAGGGATGGAAGTAAGGTTTCTCATGCTTGCTTTTCTATATCATTCTGATTTTTTAAGACCATATCGGTGTATTATCTGTCTTCAGAAATGGAATTAAACGAGGATCAGGGAATGGCACAAAACTCTCTCAGTAAGAACATGGGGCAGTGCACAGGTAGGAGTGGAGAGGCGTCAGTTTCCAACAGTCATGTTATGGGATTTTGTTTAGCTTGTTTGTTCTCTGCTTTACCTCGACCTCTATGTAGGCTATTCGTTGAGAAATCACAACTTGCTTCAGAACTGGGAGCTCAGTTGCTTAGAGCATTGTCCCCATACACGAAGATTGCGAGTTTAATACCCAGTCAGGGCACATAGAAGAAGCAACAATAACTGGACCAATGATCTCTCTCTCTCTCAATAATAATAACAAAAAAGAACATCAGTATCATCTTTAGTTATTTTAGAGAGAGATAGAAACACCAATGAGAGAGAACATCAATTGGCCACCTCCTGCATGCCCCCCACTGGAGATTTGGCCCACAACCTGGGCATGCGCCCTGACCGGGAATCAAACTGGTGACCTCTTAGTGCATGGGTCGACGCTCAACCACTGAGCCACACCAGCTGGGCTCAGTATCACCCACCCACCCGTCATCCTTAAATAGGGCAAAAATACAAAGTCAGTCAAGTGTGGCTGTGTGGAGGGAGTCAATGTTAATCAGCTTAACAATAACCCACAACCTTCGGACCCGCTGCCTTGTATCACCTTTTAAGTTGAAGTAGCAAACTAGAGTTATCTGTTCCCATTAGTTTCTTAATTCACTCTCTGAGTGTTCCGTCCTTATCCTTTGCAGCATGACTGTAATGACGGGCAGGCCCACAAGTATCCACAAAGGAATCTTCCTGCACAGAATCTCTACCGTCTGATACACTGATGACATGAAGAACTGAGGAGCTGGCATGTTTAGGAATGTTCCAAAAAAGCAAGTGTATCCCTTTTACGAAGATGTTTTTGCCAAATTTAAACTTGGTACAGCAGCTATTAAGTAGCATGTTGGAGCTGAAAGAATCCACTATCTGATGTACCCTCTCTGTTTTTAGGTGACTTAAATGTAAACTCAGGGACCTAATAGCCCTTACACGCTTCCTTTAGAGGGGAGTGTGCTTGGCCAAGGTGTTGAAAGCAAATTCATTGATTTTACCAAAATAATTCCAAACACTCATTTCTGCCTGGCAAGTGTAAGGAGCATTGGGGAGGCCATGGTGGCGGGGGGAGCCAGCAAGAGGGAGGGGAGATGAGGTGGCGGGGAGGGTGCAGGGCCTTGCAGATGCAAGGAGATACCTGGAGGTTCCACCTGGGGAGAGAGGACAGAAAGGAAGGAGACTGAGGACTGCCCAAGTCAAAGGTCAGAACCAGAAGAGTCAAGAGTGAGAAAGCCAGGGAAGAAACCGTACAGAGGCAATGGCCAGCTGTAACAAACCACTGAAAATTCAGAGAAAAATGAACAATTTAAATATGCAACGGGCCTGGGCCGGTTTGGCCCTCGGACCAAAGGGTCGAGGTTCAGTTTCTGGTCAAGGGCGTGTACCTGGGTTGCAGGTTTGATCCCTGGCCTCTTTCGTGGTCTTGTGGGAGGCAGCCAATCAATGTGTCTCATCTCTCTCTCCCTTCCTCCACCCCCTTCCACTCTAAAAATTAATGGAAAAATATCCTCAGGTGACGATTAACAAAAATAAAATAAATATGCATTGGGTTTGTGACAGGAGGTTATAGGTGACCCTGAAAAGGGGTTTCTGTGCAAATATTGAGGCAGAAATTGGCTTAGAGGGGATTGATACATTAGTGGAAAGTGAAGCAATGAAAATAACAAATTGTACAGGAAACTTGACAAATTGGAGAGGGGGAAGTAGCCAGAGGGGGAAGTGAGTTTTGACATGTTTGTGACTTTTGTTTGTTTTGTTATATTCTGAGAAAGATTTGAGCTTGTTTAAATGCTGATGGCGAGGTTTGCAAATACAGCGTAGGGTTCCTAAGAATAAGAGAGCAGGGTGAATCTGAGCGTAATTGTGGGGAACAGGAAAGGAGACAGTAGTTTGGGGAGAGTCGGGGTGGAGTATGAGGCTGGGTGCCCATGAAGTGACCTTTGCAGTGTTTTTGTGGCACGAAGTTCCCTTGTAGTTTCGGTGTTTTCTATCAAGTAGACAAGGACTCTGCTCAAACTTCAAAGATGATAGTGCGGCCAAGGGTGTTGAACAGATTCAAAAAGAGTCTGGAAGCTTTGCTAGAAATAAATGAGAGAGATTTAGTCAAGGGTCTTGTAGTTTTCAAACTGGGAACACAGGGAGGCAGAAAACCCAGAAGTGTCCCAAAGAAGAAAACAAAGTTGAAAGTTCTCAGAGTAAGAAGTACATTCTTGAGGACGGTCGGTCTCTGCAGCCTTAGTCCTAGGCTTGGACCCGACGACGTTCAGTCAGACGTCAGGCAAAGCCTCCGTGCAAAAATAAGAACTGGGTTCAGATCGCTTCTGGACTGGTGAGCCCAGAAGATGGGGGTCAGGAGGTCTGATCACCTCCTGGTGGTCTGAATAATGGATGTCAGGTGTACACGTGAGTCCTTCCTGTGGTAAGTCAGGTAGCCTGGATATGCGAGTCCTTCGGGGGGTAATTCGAGGCGTGCCTGGAGGTCCCTATGTGCATCCAGGCCATGACACAGGGTAGTTTAAGTTTTCAGGCTGGTTAGAAAAAAATGGAGTCCTTCCTCATACCTCAACCTTCATAATGTTAACAATTTTAGCGCTGGTTAAAATAACTCCATTTATAGAGTCCCCGTCTTCACTCATTCTTCAAGGTTGGAAGAGCAGGGGGGATTTGCAACAATCATTGTCAAGAGTGGGAGAGTCTGTTGATCAGAGAAGGTTAGCAAGAGTGTTGGGCGGTGTTCGAGGCCCAGTGGGACCAGTACCAGCCTCACCTGATGAGACTTGGGCCGTGAGAAGCAGCAATGACTGGAAATGGCATGGAATTGTCTCTGAGCAGAACCGTTTTTAACTAGAAGTTTTCCTTGTGCGTCATTCCCATGTCATTATTATTAGTGATTTGCCATAACTTTCCATAGATAAAATGAAAAGTCCAATTTAAGTCTTTTTCTTTCCAGATTTATCTGACTTTTCAGTTGATCCTGAGCAAGAGAAAAAGGAGAAGTTGATGCGGGAGCCCATTGCCGAGACAAATAGGAAATAAGAGATACAGACTCGAATCAAGTGCACTAAGCATGTGGGCGTTAGGAATGGGGATCTTTGGCTCCCGGGCTCAATTAGGCCACTAATAGTGGAGTGATCTTGGCCAAATGACAATTTCTTCTTTCCTGGTGTCTCCATTTGTCAAGTCAGAGGATTTCTAGGGACTGTCAGTGCTCACATTGTATATTAAAGCAAAGGTCACTTAGCATGTCTAGAGAATGAACACAGCTCTCCATCTTGTTGGGCTGTAGCTTCCCAAACTGTGGCATGCACCCTAGTCACCATGTTAAAAATGAAAATTTTTACCAGGGCCCCATGCTCAGCGATTCTGCCTCAGTCAGTCGAGGATGGGGCCCAGGAATCTTCGTGTTTCACAAGCACGTCCCATGCTTCCCATGAGTTTGTTCCAGGACCACACCTGGAGAACACTGATGAGGGCCAGTTCAGTCGTCCTCTGTCTGACCCATGAACCGAGGAGAGGAAGCCTTGGCCAACAGCTTTCTGCTCTTTCTTCCCTCAACTAGGCTTGGACTTGGAACTTGCTGCTCCCTTTCTCTCCTACTCTCAGGATGCATATCCGAGATCCGTGACTAGGAAATCATCTCAGTACCTGTGGGCAGCATACAGAGGTCGCATTCTCAGTAGCTGGAGGTAGGAATGCCTTAATATGCACCTGTGGGGACAGGTAACGTGTGGCACATTGTGGCATTAGGATATCTGCGGGACAGAGAGCGCAAAGGGTCTGAGATGGTAAGAGACGCTTTCTCCGGGCAGAACAGTGCTCGTAAGGACAGTATCTGCTCAGGGTGTGGCATCAGGAGTGTTTGCTATGCTTCTGGAGAACACGTCAATGTAGCAAGAAGAAAAAGCACCTGGCCGGTTTTCAAGTGAATCAAGAGCTGCCCTCGGGCATCTACCAAGAGTTACTCACCCCATGTTAAGGCCAGGCCCTCACTGGGAGTCCTTGAGTGACACTGAAAGGGGGGGCTGATCTGCTTCTTCCCTCCCCCCTCTCCCTGCCACTAAGTCAGAGTCCTTTGATTTGGGCAAGGGGGGTGACCTGGTGAGGAGAGTATCAGAGTGAGTCACTGGTGTGGGCCTCAGAGAAGGGGCCGGCCCCACTCCCCAGCCCCTCGGACTTGGATTCTGCAAATTAGAAGGGACGGGTACCGTTTCCTGCTTGGAAGGCTGAAAGGGGAGCTCTGGTGGTACCCTCTCCATCACGGCAGCTGTAGGAAAGGCCACACGGTCAGTGGGCCTGAGGCCTTCGCTCCAGAACAAGCATGTACCAAGCGTATCCGCAGGGGTGTTAGGAGCAGCCCCGGAAAAGCTGAGTAATGCTGACTTAGCTTGGCCTGGAACCTTTTTCATCTATGGGAAGTAGAATCATTTCTACTTGTTACGCTATTGAGTCATCCAGGTTTCTTTTGCTTTCTTTTTGGACAGATAAATAGGTACAGTTGAGGCTGACTGAAGGTTACCTAGGATATATACATATTAAGGTTCATATACTTTAAAATGGGCAAAAGCTTTGGAAAACTTGAAGGCCTAGAAAGAAAAAGTATAAATGAACAATAGGACCTGGAAATACTGCAGAAAACTCACTTAGAAGCTTGTTAGATAGTATCAGACATGGATATGTTACAGAACGTCGATGTTTCTCTCTCTCTCTCTCTCTCTCTCTCTCTCTCTCTCTCTCCCCTTCTCCCTCTCTACCACTCTCTCCCTCCCATTCTATCTGAACAAATAAGGGAAAAATGTTCTTGGGTGAGGATTGAAAAAAAGAAAGAAAATATATGTCCACCAAAAGTTGTATACATGAATGTTCACAGTATCTTTATTCATAATGACCAGAAATGGAAACAACACAGTGTCCATCAAGAAGAGAGTGAATACACAAATTGAGGTGAAGTTGTACAATGAAATAGCAGTCACCAATAAAAAGGTGACTTTTAGCCCGGCCAGTGTGCCTTAGAGGATTGAGCATCCTCCCATGGACTGAGGAATCCCGGTTCGATTCTGGGTCAGGGCACACACCTGGATTGTGGGCTCAAGTCCCAGTAGAGGGCGTGCAGGAGGCAACCGAGCGATGTTTCTCACTCACATTGATGCTTCTCTCTCTAAAAAAAATCAGTAAAAGCCCAGCTGGTGTGGCTCAGTGGTTGAGTGTCGACCCATGCACCAAGAGGTCGCCAGTTCGATTCCCGGTCAGGACATATGCTCAGATCCCCAGTGGGGGGCAACCGGGAGGCAACCAATCGATGTTCTGTCTCATCAGTGTTTCTATCTCTCTCTTCCTCTCTTTTCCTCTATCTCTAAATTCAATAAAGAACAAAAATTGTTAAAAATAAATAAATAAATAAATAAATTAGGGGGTGGGGTGGGCGAATGGGGAGAGGGTGTCAGTGGGGAAAAAAGGAGAAACATCTGTAACAAAAATAAATAATTTAAAAGATCAAAAATAAATAAATAAGTAAAATAAATAAAAAAATATTTTTTTAAAAGGTGACTTTTACACAAATTACTGATGCATACAACACAGATGAACCGTAGAAGAATCTTTCTGAGTAAAAGAAGCCAGATGCAAGAGTACATCCTATATGATTTTATTAAAAATTTTAAAAAAAATTTTTATTGTTGAAAGTGTTACAGATGTCCCTCCTTTTTATCCCCATTGACACCCTCCTCCCCACTTCTATCACCCCCCACCTTCACTGCACTATTGTATATGTCCATTGGTTGTGCAGATATGCATATAAGTTATTTGATTTATCTCTTCCCAACACCCCCACCCCTCATTCCTTCCCTCTGAAATTTGTCAATCTGTTACCTACTTCCATGTAAGTGAGATCATATGATACTTGTCTTTCTCTGACTGGCTTATTTTGCTTAACGTAATACTCTCCAGGTCCCCCCATGTTGCCTCGAAGGGTAAGAGATCTTTCTTTTTTACAGCTGCATAGTATTCCATTGTGTAAATGTACCACGACTTTTTTATCCACTCACCTACTGATGGGCACTTGGGCTGTTTCCAGATCTTAGCAATTGTAAATAGTGCTGCTATGAACGTAGGTGCATATATTCTTTCTGATTGGTGTTTCAGGCTTCTTAGGGTATATTCCTAGAAGTAGGATCATTGGGTCAAATGGCAGTTCTGTTTTTAAGTTTTTGAGGAAACACTCTATTGTTTTCCTTAGTGGCCTATGTGGTTCCATTTAAATAAAGGATTAGAACAGGCAAAAATGAAGCTATAGTGAGAGATATCATATCAGCACTTGCCTGGGGTAGGAATTAGAGAGCTCTATCCACCACAAAGGAGCACAAAAAAGATTTGGCAGAGTAGTGAGAATATTTTATATCTAGATGGTAGTGATGGCTACACAGGTGTATACGTTTGTCAAAACTTACCAGACTATAATCTTAAAATGAATGTTTTTAATTGTATGTAAAATATTCATTATTGTATGAATATTAAACCAAATAAAGTTCATTTTTAAGACATATTCCAAGTGCAGGGTTTCCTTTGGAGAAAACTCTTATCTAGACCACTCTGTGTATCTCTAGAAACATCTGAAATTTATGCTCTGCTTCTCAATTCCAGTGGAATTCCTATTTAATTGATATAAAAATACTACAGGGACTGCCCTAGCCAGTGTGGCTCAGTTGATTGGGCATGGTCCTGTGCACCAAAGGGTTGCTGGTTCAATTCCCAGTCAGGACACATGCCCAGGTTGGGGGCTCGATCCCCAGCTAGGATCATGCAAGAAGCAGCCAGTCGATGTTTTACTCTCACATCGATGTTTCTCCCCCCAACCCCCCACTTCTTCTCAATAGTAAAAAAATCTTTAAAATAATACAGTAGGGACCAAGATGGGGTAGATGTACTTCCCGCTACTCTTCCTTCCAAGTATAGCTAGGAAGCTTGGACATTATGAAGTAAACATATGAAGACCTTGAAAGTAGATGGAGGAAGGGAGACTGGGAGCAAACTCAGAATCAGCAGTGATGTGACAGTGGGTCCCTTGAGTTTTCTTTTGGCCTCATGTATCCTGGATCCGATACTGAAGAGGCCTGCGACCCAAAAACAATGGGCACAGTCCAAAAATATAAAGGTTCCAACAAAGCCTACTCTCTAGCCAGAGGACCGGGAAAGCGGCAGCCTAGCAAGACAGAGCTTAGAGACAACCACCCGACTCCAGCTAAACGCCTGGGGACTAGGCCCACCCTGACCTGGTCGGCAAAGGCACCTCGAACAGCACAGCTTGCTCTTCCTCGAGTGAGTATGGTTTCTTCTGTAAAATAGTAATAATAATAATGATAATAGACTGTTAACATTTCCAGTGGCGCTGACTATGCTTTGGGGTAATTCATGACTAATGGTGATTATAAGACTATCAGGGTGCTTCACTTCTGGAGGAGCTACTATTTCCAAATGGTTCTTACATTACTGTCTTCTGTGACTATTATATTTATATCTCTAACACAAACCTTTGCTATTCCTCGTTCTCAGAGTGGACTCTTGAATTAAAATAATAATAATAATAATAATGATAACCAGTCTTCTATGACAACCATAAATTAAGGGGGGAAATACTTAGCAAGCGGTCAATGTGACTTTGTACCCAATTATCTTTGGCACTCCTTAGATGGTCACTTGGTATTGTGAAAGGATGTACTTCCACTTGCTAATGATTTAACTCATGGCCCAGCTAACAGGAACAAAGAAAGAATTTTAAGAACAATTACACATGATGACATGTTCCACAATTTTACCAGTGTAGCTCAACAGCACTGTAAGAATTACTCTATTTTTCAGGCCCACATTATGAGAAAAACTTTAGAGACAAAGAAAGCAGCTCATCCTTCTCCTTGAAGGATATTTATTTATAATTATTCAAACTTAGTCTATTCAAAATAAAATGTGACCCTTATAAATGCATGCTTTAATAATAATTACCTGTTCAGAATGGGTAGAAGCAACTCGTATGCAAATATCTGTGAGCAAATGTTATAAGACTTTATTCCAATGTTTGAAATAACCTTGCCCCTGAAGAGTAAATGCGCTCTTTATTTATTTATTTTTTTATCCTCACCCAAGGATATTTTTCCATTTTTTGTACAGATAGAGTTGGAGGGAGAGAGAGGAAGGGAGAGAGAGAGAGAAACATCGATGTGAAGGGACACATCGAGTGGCTGCCACCCGCACGACCAACCAGGGCCGGGGACAAACTGCAACCGAGGTACGTGCCCTTAGCGGGAACCGAACCCGGGTCTCTCCGGACCGCAGGGCGATGCACTAACCGCTGAGCCAAACTGGCCAGGGCTAAATGCGCTCTTAGGGGATGGTGTGACACCAACAATGTCCCCATGACCCCTAGCATCTAGCCCCAAAGGAATAGTAAAATATAGAATGGCATTTTGAAAAAGAACCTTGCCACAGTATGTGTTAAAACTGGCCCTGCCCACAGCTCTTATGAACATAAAATCTGTAGCTTATAAAAGACGGGCACTCTCCCTACATAAAATATATTAATTTGGAGAACTTTGAGTCTTCTGGGCACTTCCGGCAGAATATACATGACGTAGTATTGTGTTGGATTATAACAATACATAAGAGATGTGGCATTTCATTCACAAGTAAGGGGGGCTCTACCAACTGATCTGGATTGTTCATGAAATAACATTGGGTTCATCAGTTGTCACACTGCTTAAACCTCGCTGGAAGGGTTTTGTCAGGCCTCACTACCTCATATGGCTGTCAATCACTGAATCCTTCTATCTTAAACTCCCACCTCCCATAATGAGCGATCCCACTCATTTGATAACTTCTTGCTGTTAATGTCTCTCTTTCTCCCTAGATAGAGAGGCTACCAACCCACTCTCCACCAAATTCCAGATCAGTAGTGGCATCATGATGTGTCCCAGGGACTATCCAAGGACAAAGAACAGGCCTGCTACTCTAAGCTAGGCCTGCCAAGGAGCAAAATTTAACCTGTATTCCTATGTTGTTCAACCATCTTCCTGAACCCTAAGTAAGTTCATCCCCATACAATTGGAGCACATCAAGAAAATCTACAAGGAAACATTTTTCAACCTACCTGTTGTCAACAAGAAGTCAGGTCTAGTGACCACAACAAGGACCTGCAGCACACGACAGCGAACACACACTCTGTGATGTTTGCTGTTTTGCTGCTCGGCCCCACCCCACTTTCCAGTCTGGTCAGTGAGTCACCACCGGGAGGTAAAGGGGGTTCACCCTCAAAGACTAAGGCTGACCCTGCCTAGATGCCATATCTTGACCTAGTTACTGTCACTGTGGTCTTGTTTACAGGAACTAAAAGATACCAGTTTATTCCTTTAGTTGTCACATTGATATACAAAATATTTAAATGCTTCTAAATGGACAATCTATTCTCAGGTGCCACAAGGCACTAAGGGAAAGTCCCCATAATACAAGTGCCTTTCACCTGAGATGCGATGTGTGACAGTTAAGCAGCTAAAGGTTAAAAAACAAAGCTCCCCAAGTGTCATGGGTAACGCACTAGTCTGACTTCACACAGTCATACTCTCCCTTTCCAACTCGGTGGAAAAACAAAGATAACTAGCAACTGAGAGATTGGTGTGACTACTGGCCACTGAGGAATCTGTGTTGTTAGACACCCACACTTAATCCTATCGGAGCCGACATGAAAAACCCACCCAAACATTTGTAGAGTGTCATGCCAGTTTCTAAATAAGAGTTACAGCTGGACACAAATACTAATACTGAGTAATACAGCATGCTGCAGAAACAGAACTCTTAAAAGAATGTATTCTGAACTTTCTCACCTGGATACTAACAAAGTATCATCTTCCTATTTACTGCATATGTGTCCGGAGGGGTGAAAGGCATTTTCCTATATTAATGATAGTTAGTTCTAGGTTGCGGTGTTGGGAATGGTTCTTTACCATCTTTTTGTCCTTTGCTATATTGGTTGATTTTTTTTTTTTATATCAGTATTGTTTAAAATAACAGCAAAGTCATAAATATAAGTAATTAAATTAAAACCTATAAATCAATGAGTCCAACGTGTAAAGTTTTTATTGGCATTTCAAGTTAGATTTTGGAAGAGTATCTCACAGAAAGTAGATGTGCTCAATTTATGGTAACTCTGCCTTTGCCTGTGGTGTAGTTTAAGCAATTTGCTTTGTAAAGGGATGCAAATCCAACCAGATTTTAAATATATATAAATGCTTATTCGCTGATTTAATGAAAATGAGACAGTCAGCTCCTCTTTCTCCTTTCATATGTCTTGGATGTTCTTGGCTCTTATCTCTTGGTGCTATTTGGAACTATTATACTTAGCCATGGGAATGCTGCTCGTGGAAAATAATCTTAGGACCATATACAAATAAAATAGTCTCTCTTCTCTTTCTATTGCAGAAAGGCAGGAAACTCTCCTGAATTGTAGAGTTAGTTCTGATAAATTTGGAAATTGAAAGTATTCACAATGGTACTAATTAATCTTGTTTTAATTTTGGCTTAACTATGGAGTCTTTGAAGCTACGCAGACTTCAAAGATTGTTGCTGTGTTCCATGAAGTATAACCAATAGCCCCTACAATTCTGCAATTCGAATTGGTTGTCTGACTTAATCTGTTGCCCTGTTTAATCATATTTAATATTGGCCTAAATATCAGTGAGATTTTGTAGTTAATCTAAGAAGAAACTTCACCTTCATTTATCAACATGATTTATACGCAAGGGTATAATAAATCTCCCAGCTCTTTTTAAAGATGTCCCCATCATAGACTACATAGAAAACAGTATCTCTGTAGCAGATGGGGGTCAACAGACAACAGTGTTTGTGGCCAGAGATGAATGGCTCAGGGGCTCTCACACCCAGGCCCCAATGAGCCTCCTCCTGATGGCTGAGAGCATTGGCCATCTCTACATATCTATAAGACGTGGTGCCCCGAACACAGGTCAGGGTGCTCTGCTTTATTTACATGAGGAGCTGACTCTACCTCATTTTCATTAAATCAGTGAATAAGCATTTATATATATATTTAAAATCTGGTTGGATTTGCATCCCTTTACAAAGCAAATTGCTTAAACTACACCACAGGCAAAGGCAGAGTTACCATAAATTGAGCACATCTACTTTCTGTGAGATACTCTTCCAAAATCTAACTTGAAATGCCAATAAAAACTTTACACGTTGGACTCATTGATTTATAGGTTTTAATTTAATTACTTATATTTATGACTTTGCTGTTATTTTAAACAATACTGATATAAAAAAAAATCAACCAATATAGCAAAGGACAAAGAAAATGGTAAAGAACCATTCCCAACACCGCAACCTAGAACTATCATTAATATAGGAAAATGCCATGCACCCCTCCGGACACATGTGCAGTAAATAGGAAGATGGAAAGACACTTCATGAAAAAATAGGTAGAATAAATAATTCTGAATAAATGGGATCACTATACTGCTAATGTTGATCAAAAATTTTACATTTGCATTTATTTGAGTTTTGAAGTTCTCCCGTTTTGTGCATACACATTTAATATCTCTGTCTTCTTAGTGGATTTAAAAAAAAAAACCATTATATAATGTTCCTCTTATTTATTTTCATTTTTTCTCTGAAGTCTACTTTATCTGTTATCATATAACCACCCTTGCTTTTATTAGTATTAATGTTAGCACGATATATCTTTCTCCGTGCTTACTCTTTCAACCTACTTGTGTTGTGTTTGAAGTGAGTTTCTTGTAGACAGCTTACAGTTGGGTCATGTTTCCTTTTCTTCTTTTTAAAATCTCAAGGATGTTCTGTACTGAAAACTTACTTCCATTTAGGTCCTTTTACTCTCCCTTCTTTTAAAATATAATTGTTTCAAGTATTTCCTCCACTTACATTGAGCAGATATTGATATAATTTTTGCTTCGGTCGTCAATTATGATTTCAGAAATTCATGAGAAGAAAGTTTATTATATGTACCCCTATTTTATTGTTCTTTTCTTTTTCAATTTCCAAGCCTCCTTTTGTTATCATTTTCTTTCTATTTAGAGAACTTCTAGGACTGCTAGTAACACATTTTCTTAGTTTTCTCTCGTCTGAGGATGTCTGTATTTCCCCTTTCTTCCTAAACGATAGCTACTCTGGACACAGAATTCACCGTTGCCTATTCTTTTCTTTCAGTACTTGCAGAATATTGTGCCACTTCCTGCTAATCTCCATGGTTTTGGGTGAGTAATCTGCTGTTATTTGAATTGGTGTTTCCTGTAGATAATACACTGCTTCTCTGATTACTTTAAAGATTTTTTTTTTTTACCTTTAGTTTTTAGAAGTTTGATTATAATGTCTCTTGGCATGGATTTCTTTGATTTAGCATTCATTTGTTGGTTTATGTGTTTAACAAAATGTAGTAAGTTTTCCGTCATTATTTCTTCACATGCTTTTTCAGCTCATCTGTCTCTGTTCCTGGGACACCAATGATACAAATATTATAACTTTTGTTATTGTTTCACAGGTCCCTGAGGTGCTGTTCATTTTTTTAAATCCATTATTTCTTTGTTGTTCAAGATAAATTATTCCTATTCACCATCTTACATTGACTGCCTTTATCGCATGTCATTTCCATTCTACTTGTAAGCCCATCCATCAAGTTTTTAAATTTTTAGTTGTTGTATTTTGCTTAAATGTAACATTAAAAAAAAAAGAACTGATATAAAAGTAAATCAATGCTGATCTTTACATGAATTATTTTTTCACTCCAAGACAAGATACTACTGTCCCTCAGTTCCCTACTCTTTAATATGGTCCCTATTAGCAGGACTATTTAGAAATTATGGTAGGTTTTAGAGAGACTCTTGTTTTTTAGCATGTCAAACATACTAAAGTGACCACATATTTCACATTAAAAGTAATTTTCCTATAAAAATATTTGAAAGAATTTATTTTTTATTTTATTTTATTTATTTTTTATCCTCACACGAGGACATTTTTCCATTTTTTGTTCAGATAGAGTGGGAGGGAGAGAGAGGAAGAGAGAAAGAAAAACATCGATATGAAAGGGACACATCGAGTGGCCGCCACCCACGCGACCAACCAGGGCCGGGGACAAACTGCAACCGAGGTACGTGCCCTTAGTGGGAACCATCCTGGGTCTCTCTGGACCGCAGGCTGATGCTCTTACCGCTCAGCCAAACCGGCCAGGGCTATTTGAAGGAATTTAATAACACAGCATTGAATTTTTAATTTTTTTTTTTTTCATTTTCAAACTAGAGCAAACATTCTTGGAGGTCCTTATGGTTTTGTGGTTTTAGACTCTACATCTGTAGTACCCAATGGCTGCAGACTCATTTTATTTTTTTAAGAGAGTGGGTTTGACACCTGGCAGAGACTTGCCAAAGCTCTCTTTCTCTTTCATTAGTCATTGTCTTCTTCTGAAGTTTATATCCTGACATTATACCCTTTTTCACATTTTGTTAATTCGGGGGAATTTTGCTGTTTTTCTTAGGATAGTTTATGTCATTAGATATTGAGGGAGGTAGATCCAGCGATCCAACTTCCTTCAGTCATTTTCATCCAAACGTGTAATATTTTCTTAAAAAATAAAAACTATCATTTTTGGTCCTTTCTTAGTGATATTTGTCTAAATTAAGACATTGTTAGCTTTTAGTGTGTCTGGCTTTCCTTGGTTGTCACTTACTTAGGTAATATTTTCCCTTAAATTATTAATTAAACCTTAATAAATTAAATTAATCCTAAATTTTGGCCTAATTTAGTGTCAATTATTTTTTTAAATGGCTCGAAATTGCTTTCATCCTTTTAACCAAAGTCACCCAAATCTAAAGCATTTTTCCTTTTGTTTGTCTACTAAGGATGAATATATTTGTTTACTTTTTACTGAAATGTGTTAATATATTTAAATCAATGCGTATAGCCTCTTTCCCATCTTTCAAATATTTTACACGACAAAGACACCCAAAGCTCAGATCCCTAGGTTTCTTTTTTTTTTTTACAATGTTAGTTTTATCTGTTTGCTTTATCACCATACTTTCAACCATTCTCTATTTAATTTGTAATTTGACATACCTTAAAATTTTGCCCCTTCTATTGATTTGTCCTTACAATCCTATAATTTCCAAGTTATTTTTTTCTTCTCAGATATCTCTGATATTTGATGCTGTTAATAATTAGTGTAGCCCTGACTGATTTGGCTCAGCAGTTAGAGAGTTGGACCAAAGAGTCGCCGGTTTGATTCTGATCAAGGGCATGTACCTTGGCTGCGGTTTGATTCCTGGTCTCTCCCCCTCCCACTCTATCTGAAGATAAATGGAAAAATATCTTTGGGTGAGGATTCAAAAATAATAGTAATAATAATTAGTGTAAAAATCCATTTGTTGCTTCTACACTGATATTGTAAAAATAAGAAAGTGATGATGTTAATAGGTATTTTTTAAAATGTGACTGATAGGAAAGTATTTTGTTGTTTATTTTGTTTTGTCTTCAAAGCCTTTCACAAACTAGATGTAAAGGTTTGTAAAAGATAGGCAAAATTATCTGGTGAAAGCTGCATCCTGTGACCTCAGGCATGGGCGAGTGGGTTTGATAAATACTTCATACTTCTTGGGGTGTTTGCATCTTAAAAGAGGAAGCTGTAGAGGCAGCTATGGAAGGTTTATTTTAGATGTCAGGGGAGGGAAAAGAGTATCCCTATATTCCTTTATTTATATTTTATTGAACCACCATTGTCTAGGGGAGAATATGAAAAGGAAGAGACCTTATACTGCTTATGGTAGTGCCCACGATATTGAATACAGTGATTTGCTGATTGTTCACTCCAGGGCTAGAACCATGAATTCCTCCAGCCAAAGGCCCTCTAGTACTGATCTTTTCATCCCACGGGCCTAGAACGGTGTCTGGCACACAGTTCATTTCAATCAGTGCTTGCTGAATAGTACTTGGAATATTTAAAACATTTTTCATGTTTTCATATCTGGAGGTTAAAAGTTGATTTTCCAGTGCTCATACACAAAGGGTGTTTGTTAATAACATAACTGTAGGGATGACATTCTAATGTCTAACAAGGAGGACCAACCCTACGGGGTATTGCAGCATCGATCATAATGAGGGTCCGTGGTCTGTCCTCATGTCTGGGTTTCCTAGATGCACTAACGCACTGCTCCTCCTGCGTGTGCCTCTCACCTCCACCACTAGGGGTCAGCACAGATGACGAAATCCACTCCAGGAGTTTACACCTTGCAGGATCCCTCCACACCAGTGCAGTTTATGGTAAAAAAATAATTAAAAAATTAAAAAAAAGAGCCCTTGTTTGTTGAAAACATTACTAAGTAGCCACCATTCGGGGTTTTAGGATTACTTTTCCCAAATCTATAGAAAACCCACTCCGTTGTCTAAGCTATCCTCCTACCACAGAGTCTCACCTGCCGAGTGAGCGGTTATTCTAAGGCTCCTTCCAGCTCTAAGATCAACGTTCCCAGCTGGACCCCTTCTCTGCCACCCACCCCAATTTTAGTTTTCAAAGTGTGCAGATTCCGGTCAGGAGTGGCTGAAGCCTCGGGGCGGAATCTCGTGCCAGGAAAAGGACTCCATGACCCTAATCAGGCCTGTCATAGCATGGCGACACCATTTTCTTTTCTTTCTTCCTTTTTAAAATTGGCCTTTCTCTTTTGCTCTTCTGCCTGCTTCAACTCTCAAAAACTTACCCAGAAATTAAACCCAGGGAAGCTCAATGAGCCAAGGTAAACCGGCCCAAGAGTAGCAGGCTCCCTCCCCTAGGGGCCAAAGTCTGGGCACCGGGGTCTGCTCTCAGAGCCTGGCAGTAACCACTGGTGCAGAAGGAGGTGGTTCCAGAGGCCAGTAGTAGCCCAGCCCAGAGGGGCTTTCTGTAGTGGGCACACTCAGAGCCAGGCTGTGTAAGAAGTGGTGCCCGGTGGCCTCGTCGAAGAGTTCCTCCTACAGGGGTCCAGGACCCAGGAGCCCTGAGCCCTGCAGGAGGCCAGGCCTAAGGCCCTGGCTTCAGACATGGTGCCCAGGAGACAGTGGCCTGTGGCCTGACCATGGCTATAGATGGTCTGTGACTATTTTCTGAAGCTTAAATCTGGAAAACGGTCTGATTAGAAGAACGCATTTCTGAATCTCATGCCAAACATTTAAAATGGAGACTCTCTAGGAAAATCTGGTTTACACAACCCTCAGCCAATGGTCAGCTGTAAAAAGGGGCTATTTGCAATTTTTCTTGCCCACTGTAATCTTTAATGTCAAAATTAGTAACAGTTTTCGCTTTGGGTCTGTTTCCCTTCCTTGCTCATTTTCCACAAGCAGCTTCCTCCATCCTGCCTCCCAGCAGGCCACAGTCAGTTCAGGAAAATGTAACCATTAAAGTGAGGTTTCATAAAAGGAATTTAGACATTAAAATAGGAGCAAAGGGACTATCCTCTCAAATTCAAAAACAGACCGACCAAAAACCTCTTTAATAGGAATTTAGGTTATAATACAAATAAATGTGTGGAGAATACTTTCTTGAACAATGAAGGATGCCCGTGAGACCGGGCCAGTGGTATGGTTGGACCTGGCAGGGGCTGGTCCAGTGCCCTCCCAGATTTGTCCCTGTTCTTTCGAGAACGCCCAGGAGCAGAGCCAGGACTTGGGTGTGGGTGGTTCACTTGGGGAGTGATTCCAGGAGGCAAGAGTGAGACAGCAGGGAGCGTGAGCCCGGGAAGGAGGAAGGGCCAAGGTCAGGGGTACTGGTGAGGCTGCCGCTGTGAGCAGTGGGCTGTTTCTACCAGGCTCGTAAGGGAAACTCAGGGAAGCTTTCCAGGGTCGCCTACAGGAAACAGCAGTGGGCTTGAGCATGGACCCATCCGCTCCTGTTTCGTGGGGCGAGGCCCCCCTTGAGGCAGTTCACTTCCAGGTATTTCTGGGCCGCATTTGTGTGTGTGGGGGTGTAGAGGGGGCCGTGAGAATCCTACAGTGTTGGAGATGCCCCAGGGCAGAAGGTTAGCGGAGCTAGAACATGGGGTAGGATGTTGGCAGCACAAGGAAAGTCTGCACTTCCGTGGACCTGTCCCCTGTGGCCCAGACTGAAATGAAAGGTGGGCGCAGAGGACATCATGCACCTCGGGCTGAGCAGCTGGCCTGGGCAAGAGGACCCCTGCCTGGACCCTGTGCTTCAGAAAGCACTTCTCTGGTCTTCCCCTGACTGTTCCTTCCCCTGACTG